TGACATCCTATATTTGGTTTTCTGTTTTCCTTTCAACAGGAAGGTAAGCTCCATGAGAGCAGAATATTTTTGTCTGGTTTGTTCCACTGCTGTATATTGGCACTTAGAATACAACCTGGCATATGGTAGGCACATGATAAATAGGTGTTGAATGAAAGAATAAAGGAACATATTCCTACCACTCCTCTGGCTGGCAAAATCCTTTCTTTTTTCTTTTCTTTTTTTTTAAACTTTTTATCTTTTAAAATATGGAACGCTTCACAAATTTGCGTGTCATCCTTGCGCAGGGGCCATGCTAATCTTCTCTGTATCATTCCAATTTTAGTATATGCGCTGCCAAAGCGAGCACACAAAATCCTAACACAGCACTTTACAGTCATGAACCTAAGGAATTAAAGTGGGACACTAAACAGCAAGGTGCTTCTATGTATATGATCATTTGGCTGGTAAGTTCTACTTCTTTGTACATGCTCAAGGGTAGCCAGATCCCTAAGAAGTAAAGCCAATACCTGGAATTATTTCCTCACTTATTGGCAATGACCTGGGTTAAGGTAAAACTCCTAGTAGAGATTTGTCTTCATCCTCTTCCTCCTTGATGTCATCTCACTTTCAACAACAATAAAGACATTTATTGATTGAATTTTTGTGTCTGACACTCTGCCAAGCATTAGGATTTTTAAAAACTTTTCTACATCTTCCCTCCAAACCTCAAAACTCTAAGTGGTCCCACTTGGAAACAATAGCACATAAACTGTCTTTGTATTTAGAAATCAGAAATAGGGTGGTTCTTTTGAAGTAAAGGCCTCAAACAGGATAACAGAATGTTAGAGCATGGATCCTATATAGAGTCAGAGTGGCCAAATCAAATTCATGTACAATTACTTCCACAAGCTGTGTGACATTGGCGTGCTGTGTAACCTCTCTGTGCCTTACTATTTTCATCTGTAAAGGAGGAATAATAATAATCTGCATACCACAGAATTGTTGTGAGGCATAAATGAAATAATCCATATAAAATACTTAGACCTAAACCTGGTACATTGAAAATGCTCAATAAATGTTAGCTATTATTATACAAGGGACTCAAAAATTGCTGGCTCTATAAGGGGCAATTCTGGCTATAAAGCAAAGAACATCTTTTGTGAAGATGCTGGAAAGACTGTCAGTTATTCAGTATCATTTTGTGTCAAGCCCTCATACACAGTGATCATTATAAGTGTAACTAGAAAATCCAGCAATATATTGGAAATTAAACACAGATACAGGGATTTTAAAAAAATCATACATTTCTGTAAATCAGGGGTTGGCAAGCTTCTTTTGTAAAGGGCCAGGTGGGAGATATTTCAGGCCTTACAGGCCAGACAGTTTCTGTTGCAACTACTCAACTCTGCTGCTGCGGGGACAGAGCAGTCATCAGTAATGTGTAAATGAATGAACATAGCTATGTTCCAATAAAACTTTATTTACAAAACCAGGCTGTGGGCTGGCCCATGGGTCATAGTTTGCCTACCCCTGCTCCAAATAATTATCCTAGCCTATTAGAGTTGTAATGGCTACTTCAGTTGAGTAACTACAGAAAGCAAACTGGGGAGGAGAATAAAGGGAGTAAGAATTAAAGAAATGGAAGAATAAGCAATAGCCCCTCCAATGTCTCTCCCCTCCCATCCTAAATGGTAGTAGATGCCTTACATGACAAGGGAGCAGCAGACTCCATTTATTCTTTCTGTCATTTAACACATAATTGTGAAGCACTTACCATGCCCCAGGTATTGTGCTGTGATCTATAATGTTGAGTGAAAACACACCTAATCCCTGCCTTCATGTAATTTACAATCTAGTCAGGTAGGAATAGGGATAAGCATCAGTCAAATAATCACACAAACAAATGTGAACCTGCACCTATGCTAGGTCCTATGAAAGCTAGTAAGAGGATGCTTGCTCTAGTTGTGGAGCTCATGGTAGGCTTCCCTGAGGAACCCCAACCTAAAACTTGAGCTGAGATCTGACAAATGAGTTACCCTATTAGGCAGTAGGGTAGGGGACCAGCTCAAGGAGAAGGAACAGCATAGGCCCTTTGACAGTAAAAAGCATGGTGCATTCAAGGGATGAAAATAAGGTCATTGTGATTGGAGTGCAGACAGCCAGATGAAACATGGTGGGAGACATGGCTAGAAAGATAAGTACGGGGTCAGACCGTGAAGGACCATGGTAGCAATCAATTCTTTTTTTTTTTTTTTTTTTTTTTTGAGACAGAGTCTCGCTTTGTTGCCCAGGCTACAGCGAGTGCTGTGGCGTCAGCCTAGCTCACAGCAGCCTCGAACTCCTGGGCTCAAGCAATCCTGCTGCTGCCTCAGCCTTCCGAGTAGCTAGGACTATAGGCAGGCACCACCATGCCCGGCTAATTTTTTGTATATATATTTTTAGTTGGTCAATTAATTTCTTTCTATTTTTGGTAGAGATGGGGTCTCGCTCAGGCTGGTTTCGAACTCCTGACCTCGAGCGATCCGCCCACCACGGCCTCCCAGAGTGCTAGGATTACAGGCGTGAGAATAAATTATTATTATTTTTTTTTTCCCTCACCTACCCCTTGAGAATAAATTATTTTTGATGTTGATGGCTGTGAAAACCTAACAAGACTTTTAAACAGCTTCAAAGTGATTTTATTACAATGACACTATTTGACTCTTAACTCCTTGGTCTATTTTTCTATCAAATAAGGAAATTAAAATGTCATGGAATGACTTACTTTATATAAAGCTGGGCTGATTGCTATCCAGTACTTGATGCTACTCTTCATAGATAAATGGATTACGTGATGATCTCCAGTACAGCAGTTCTGGTTCTCAACATATAGTCCACAAGTGCCTAGGGGCTCCTATGACCCTTTTAGGGGGTTGGCGAGGTCAACATTATTTTCTATAATAACACTGAAATATTAATTGCCTTTTCCAGAGTGTTGACATTTATACCGATGGTGAAAAGGCAACAGTGCTAAAACTGCTGGTGCTGTAGCATCTATCAAGGCAGGGGCACCAAATTATGCGACTAGTCATTGTATTCTTTACCACCATGCATTAGCAGAGAAAGAATCGCTATTTTGCTTACAAATGTCATTGATGGAGTGGTAGAAATTATAATTGTCTTTCATTAAAATGCAATTTTTTCCCTTTTTTTTTTTGAGATAGAGCCTTGCTCTGTTGCCTGGGCTAGAGTGCTATGGCGTTAGCCTAGCTCGCAGCAACCTCGAGCTCCTCGGTTCAAGGGATCCTCTTGCCTCACCCTCCTGAGTAGTTGGGACTAGAGGCACACGCTACCATGCCCGCTTATTTTTCTATTTTTAGTAGAGACAGGGTCTCACTCTTGCTCAGGCTGGTCTCGAACTCCTAAGCTCAGGTAATTCTCCTACCTAGGCCTCCCACAGTGCTAGGAGTACAGGAGTGAGCCACCACACCAAGCCTAAAATGCTATTTTAATACACAGTGGATTATTTTTATTTTTAAATCATCTAATAAATATTTGAAAATTTCTTAGTTTTAATTTCCAACTTGGTAAATATAGATAGCTATAACACATAAACAAAAGATCTTTGGGGCTCCCAATAATTTTTTAAGAATAAAGGGCTCCTTAGATCAAAATGTTTGAGAACTGCTGCTCTCTTAGTTTTCCAAACGTCACTCTTATCAAGACAATTTTCCACTTTTCAATTATGGGTGTTGTATGCAGACTTTTCATTTCTCCAGGTCTAGCTCTTCAGGACTTCTCAAAAATAATGACTAAGAGCTCTAAAATCGCCCTCTAAAATTTCTTAAACACTCCTGTGTGTCCAACCAATTTATTTCTCCTCACTGTCTCTTGGCATGGTGTTTTGGAAAGAGCTACCAGGCCTTTCCAGAATTTCAGTGTAGTGGGCTGCAGTAGTTGTTATTTTTGTCTTACCCACCTGCCCCCCACACTTTCCCATTCTTCTTTGCCCAGTGGCATCATCTTCTTCCATTTTGAGAACCTTCTCTCCATTCCTTGTCTTCCTGATGAAGCTGGCAATCACAGTGCCCCCACCCAGAGCTGACTAGAAGGGTGGGCACATGATCTAGGCCTGGCCCAACCATAGCACTGCGTCTCCCAGAAAAGTGATTGGTTTAAGGGAGAAGTCACATGACCTAAGCTAAGAAAATTGGAGTACTTACCCCCAAAGCCTCTGAGGTAAAGGTAGCCCTCACTTTGATCATGAGTTGTAAGGGTATATAAGTGGGCTACTACCCGTCATCTTTCTCACCATATAGAGAGAGCCCGTCTACAGGATCAATCCAGCAGAGACAAGGAGAGATAAAGATCAGTGGAGAGAACATTCTGGCAGTTTTGAGTCCATATTTCAATCTCTGAGGCCCTGGTTCCTGGCTGCTGTTTCTCCCTTCAATTCTGCCAAGTATCATGCAGTCATGTGAATAAATAAATTCCCTTTTGTGCTAAAGTTACCCTTTCAGTTGAAATAGTCTGGAATAATATATTTGAGAAAGTTATTGAATCTTTTAACTTTAGTTTCCTTGTGGGAATATCATCAACTCTCACCTCACAAGTTGTAGGGTTTAATGAGACAGTGTTAAAACACAATTCAAACTGTAAATCATTCTACAAGTGTTGAGTACAATAAATGTTTTCTCTATACATCCAAGTAGCAAGGTGGTTAGCCTCTGCTGTCTAGCAATTATTTTTTGGATAACTAAGTATACTCATCCCAAATCCTTGAGTCCAAGAATGGCTTAAGAGATCCTTAAATTTCCTCTAGAAGTCAATTAAGATTTAGGAACTTTTTCTATCATAGTTATTCTATCTAGACAGTTCACCCTGCATTTAGGCCAGTTTGGTATGGATCAGGTCTCACAGAATTTTAGAATGTTCAGACAAAAAAGAGGTGTGTGTTTTTGTGTGTGTGTGTGTGTGTGTGAGAAAGAGAATGGACTATTAAAACCATTGAATCGCCCTTTCACGTCCTGGCTTCTAAGATGTCAAAGAAAAGAAGGAACAATAATGGTGCCAAAAAGGGCCGTGGCCACTTGCAGCCTATTCGTTGCACAAACTGTACCTGGTACATACCTAAAGACCAAACTATAAAGAAGTTTGTCATTCAAAACATAGTGGACGCCACAGCTGTCAGGGACATTTCTTTTTTTTGTGAGACAGAGTCTCACTCTGTTGCCCAGGCTAGAGTGCCGTGGCATCAGCTTAGCTCACAGCAACCTCAAACTCCTGGGCTCAAGCGATCCTCCTGCCTCAGCCTCCCGAGTAGCTGGGACTACAGGCATGCGCCACCAATACTGGCTTAATTTTTTCTCTATATAGTTGCCAATTAATTCTTTCTATTTTAGTAGAGACGGGGTCTCGCTCTTGCTCAGGCTGGTTTCGAACTCCTGACCTCGAGCAATCCGCCCGCCTCGGCCTCCAGAGTGCTAGGATTACAGGTGTGAGCCCAGCCAGGACATTTCTGAACAGTGTCTTTGATGCCTATGTGCTTCCAAGCTGTATGTACAACTACTCCTGGCGTGAGGTGCGCCATTCACAGCAAGGTATCAGAAATCAGTTGTCGGGAAGCCTGCAAAGACCAGCACCCCACACCCAAGTTAGACTGTGGGTGCTGCCCCGACCTCCACCAACGCCATGTAAGGGGTTCACCTTGAGGACTTGAAGAAGCTATCCTTTGGAAAAAAAAAATAAAAGAAATTATTTTAAAAAAAATGGCTAGAGCAGTGCTCATGCCTGTAATCTAGCACTTTGGAGGCAGTGCAGGTTGCTTGAGGCAAGGAGTTCGAGATCAACCTCAGCAAGAAGGACCCTGTCTCCACACATGCACACACACAAAAAACCCAAAACAAAACAACAACAACAAACCATGGAGTCTTCCTTACTGAGAAGGCTCACTCAACTGAAAATAAAGAAAAGGACTAGAAATACTCAGGGATTGTTACAGTGTAACCAAGAGGCACCTACACAATAAATGCCACTTACTATAAAGCATAAAGGAATGAACTCCCTCCCCAAAGCTCAAATGGTGGATGAGAGGCATAGGTCAGTTTTCAACATCATCTTTGGCATATAGTATTTGGGGTGAGGTGGTGGCTAAATCCATGGAGACATTATGACTTCTACAGTGTGCTTGGCAGCTCTAGTTTCAAGATATTTTAGCCAAGTATTTTTCAGTGTGACCTAAGCTACCAAGGATTCTATCGATCAGGAATCAGTGTGTTTCATTCACTATGGGTTGCTCTATACTCATGCATTTTAGAACATGACACCAAGGAAAGTGGAGTGCCTCCTGGCCGACCACTCTTTGATTCCACTTATCAAAGACTGATCCCCTAAAATGACTCTTCTCCATTGTCTCTGTAACTACATTTTGACTTATGTGGCTACAGACGCAGCACATTTCCCAAATGAGGCTGCCCACCAGGAAGTGGATATTTCAATGGAGATGCTGATAAACCTATGGCAGCAAGAGGGGAGAACAGCAGGAGAGTCTTTTCATGGTTCAATCATTAAAATCCACCAAATCTCCACTATTCAAACATTTGGACAATAAGACAACACGTTGTCAGTTGTATATTCCCAGGTAAATAGCACTCATTTTTAACTCATTAAATGAGAAGGACAAGAATGGCCTTTTAAATTTGAGCAGAACTGATACATAGATATTTTTTTTCCTATTTTCAACTTCTGCCAAAGGACCCTGCCAGATGCCTTGTTTCAGGGGGGAATGTCTTACTCAATCACTCGATTCTTTTTAAACCAGCATGTACAAATTCCTTCCGTTCGTAGTAGCCCTAATGCTCTCGTTCCAGTCCCACAACCACCACATGGTAAGTAGAGAATCATCGGGGCTTCATAATTGTCTTAAACTCAGAGATGAACAATATATACTATGGTTTAATGCCCATGAATTTACAACCGTCCCCCCTCCAACAAATGTCATTGAGCCTTCTTCTGTTAAAAAGAACATTTAATATCTGAGCACATATTTGGTTTGCCTGTCTGAATAATAGTTATTCCTTTGCAGACCTACACAGGAATTAAACTTTGCAGCAATTGAAGTAATTGGAGAATAAATTGTTGTTACGAGACCAAACTGGGGAAAAAAAATAAAGTTGCTTCAGTTCATCAAAAGAAGGTTCAGCACCCCAGTGAGCGAGGCTTACTCTACAACAGCACCTGGACGCCAAACCGCCTCTGTTTTTAGCCTCAGACTGAAGACCGACGACGGACAGTGAGAACAAATCAAGATTTTATTAGCTTGCCTTAACTCGAAAAGCAGATTGTTTGATATGGGTAAACAATCCGTGTAATGTTCTATGCCATTCGAATGGTATGTTCTTGTTATTACTTTTTTCATAACCAAAGAAGTGGGATTAACTGGAACTGGAAAACTACAGAATAGGAAATGCCGGCCGGGAGTGGGCGGGCGGACGGTTTGGAACAGTTAGCCACTTCTCGACAAGTATAAATCTCTGCTTAACCCTGTTAAAACAAGGCATTTGGCATGCTTTGGCTTCCGATACACTCAGCAGGTACATTCAGGCTCCAGGGCATCCCCAACCCACCCCCTTCCTGACTCCAAGTTGTTCTAGTACTTTGAATGGCTTCTAGGCCTTCCTCCCCTACGGAATAGAACCATATTTTAGGAGACAATATTAGCAGCACTGGAAAACATGGCAAATGTTCCACGACAGTGATCTTTTGAGGCTAGATTTTTGATTATGACTATTTATGTGGGCATAAGAACTTACCTGGGAGAAGTCCCATTTGTATCTCAAGGATGAACCAATGAATCTTGAAGCCAAAGTCTTCAGGCACCTGGGTTCATTTGCAAATTGGTCAACCTGGTGAAAAGCACAAAAGACCCAATTAAGCTTAATATTAGAAGATAATGCAATCTGACTCATTCGAAGATAAGTGTGTGAAATATTTTTATACTCATTTAGGCCTTTTCCAACAACTAAGCAGAAGCCTACTCACACCACACATGGCTATTGGTCAGATAATAACATTTATTGACTATACTTAAGGAGGGCTCAATGCAGCCAATGTGCTTTACACAAATTCCCATTTCATCTTCATAAACCCAATGAAGGAGTATTAATATTGACTCCAGCACTTATCAACTGGGGATTGGAAGTCATCCTTCTTATCCACACACCACCCTCTGTCCCATTTTAGAGGAGGATAATAAAGATTCTGAAGTAGACTTAGAGCTCTGAAGTGGACTAGAGAAACCACGACAACAAAATGTGGGCTGTATAGCAGTGTCATTCGTGCCTGTTTGTTGCTGGTCTGTGACAAGTCAGAAATTGAGAATGAGGTTTAAAAACATTCGTGCAATATAACAAAGTATTTTGTATGTCTGTTGAACCTGATTATTTAAAATTTGGGTTGTATTTTGTCTGTCTTTGATTTTTATTTAATATCATTTTGTATAATTTATTTTGATTATATTTTGTTAAAGTATCAGTCCATGATGGATTGGAATTTTTGAAAAGAAATAAGAACTGTTCCTTCATATAGATGTAGAGAGAAGCACTGGATAAACATGTGTTAGTGATGACCATGTAGAAAGGAGAGATGAAGATAGTGAAAGTTTGAGCTTCTTTCTGAAGTTTGTGGGGTTTCCTGTATTTCTTATCAGTTCTCTACTTCTCTCTGAAAATCTACCCATTGCTCTGTTGGTTTTAAGAGAACAATCAGTAACACCCGTTCCCCCTCCTAAATGTAAAAGCAACAGAGACATGAACACCAGAGTCAGATAGGAGATGAAATGTCAGTTACCAAACTGGACCGGAGGAGATAGCTGAGAATGTACGATCTCAACTTTTTCTAATACTTCCCCTCACCACTGAATAGGGAGCCTCACCACCTAGTGCACTTGCATAGTTGGAGTCACACCGACACCAAGCCTGCCCCACAAACTAAGAGCAGACCACAATACCTTTAGAAAGACTACATACCATGTTTCCCTGAAAATAAGACAGGGTCTTATATTTATTTTTCCTCAAGAAGAAACACCTAGGGCTTATTTTCAGGGATGTGTTATTTTTTTAAGTACAGCTAAACAACCTACATTTATTCAATATTAGTTGAGTCGTCTTCTTCTGGAACATCATCATAACTCTCACACCCGGAATTCCATCCTGAATTTCTTGCAACTCTATTTCCTTTAGAACATTGGCCACAATCTCTCATGTCGAGCAATAGAGCTGTCATGGGGCAGATGAAGGGCTGCTCATCTTCTTTACCGCTCCGCATGAAATGCATGGGTTGTGCAGATACGTCGCATAGCCACGCCCATGCACTAGTCTTATTTTCGGGGTAGGGCTTACATTGTGCAAATGCTTGAAAGCCTGCTAGGGCTTATTTTATGGGTAGGTCTTGTTTCGGGGAAACACGATAGAAATGGCAGAGCAGAGCATTCTCGTTCCTTTGCAAAAACTCATTACAGTAGCTAAGTCTTTCTTCACTTGGTAGGGCATAAGGGAGAGGCAAGGAAAAGAGACAAGGGTATCCCTCTGGTTTATGTTCCCTCAAGAAAATGTGAGGCTAGAGGAATGAGGTTCCCTAACATGCGTCATTTAACCCCTCACTTAATACCCACCTCTGGATATTCTACTAAACACACCCAATTCATTCTGTAAGCTTTTTCTCCCATCATTTAAAACGACTCTTGAAAGTCTATTCCACCAGACAACCCTTGAGAAGGTGGAAGTAATTCCTCTTTCTAGCTCCTTTGCTCAATTAGGTAAATGCACTTAATTTTTCAAGTTGTATATATATTATAGTACTTCCACCTGGAATTGTGTATGGCATTATAAATCCCATGTAGCGGGGAATTGTGCACATGCTTACTCATTTGCTACAGCTCAGTGCACCAATAGATTTTAATGACTGGTTGATCCAAGGATGATGAAGATGGAGATGGCAGTAAAGACATCTCTCTTGGCTATTTTGCATTTAGCACCTCAACCCTCAGATGATGAACCAGTTTTCCCACTTCTACTCTTGTTCTCTGGTAATACTTGCTTTGCAACTTGATTCCAGAGTATCGTCCTCAGCAAATGCTTTTCAACAGCATACTAATATTAAGAAAATTAGATGCCTCATATAATATTGAGCTTGACTTTGAAACTCAGTTCTTCTACAGAGTAATTCTTTTTAAAAAAAATATTTTATTAACGCTTCACGAATTTGCGTGTCATCCTTGCGCAGGGCCATGCTAATCTTCTCTGTATCGTTCCATATTTTAGTATATGTGCTGCGGGAGAAGCGAGCACCAGAGTAATTCTTTTTTTTTTTTTTTTTTTGAGACAGAGTCTTGCTTTGTTGCCTAGGCTAGAATGAGTGTCGTGGCATCAGCCTAGCTCACAGCAACCTCAAACTCCTGGGCTCAAGCAATCCTTCTGCCTCAGCCTCCCAAGTGGCTGGGACTACAGCATGCGCCACCCATGCCCGGGCTAATTTTTTCTATATATATTATTTGCAATTAATTTCTTTCTATTTATAGTAGAGACGGGGTCTCGCTCTTGCTCAGGCTGGTTTTGAACTCCTGACCTCGAGCAATCCACCCGCCTCGGCCTCCCAGAGAGCTAGGATTACAGGCGTGAGCCACCGCGCCCGGCCAGAGTAATTCTTAATGTATTTGTATTATTGGGTACTGTTACAGGGCCATCACAACTTTGTGGTATGGTGGAGTTTGTCTTCTCATGCTTCCAGGCTTCCTTCCCTTCTCTCCTTGTCATTGATCCTCCTTCCAAGTGCCTAGGGCTCCCACGGTGCCTCCAGAGCTTTCCAGAACTGCCCACTTGGTATTCTTCTCAGGCCTGCCCTCTCTTCAAATACTGTAGACCTTTTCATCCCACTCTTGTGTTCTCTTTTAAAAATCATGTTGCATTTTAGCATGTGCATTCTGGAGCTAACTCTTTCCCTAAAGAAGTAACATTAATGGTGGAAATGTCATAAATGACAGCAGATCACTAGGGAACATCTGGGAGTAGGGAGGCTTTTGATCATCTTGTATATCTCACCATGTGGGTGGCTGCCTACATGGAAGGCCAAGTTTATATATTAATATTTGTATCATCTTGTATAAGTACATAATTATATTTTAGAGGATGAGCTACATATTCATATATATGGATATGACTGCTACTTTCATAAGTGCATGTCTGTACAAACCCTTCATTAGGACCTCAATAAAATATATTCTCTGCTCACCTAGTACCTCTAGTTTCTGGAAGTAAGGAAAGTGTACCCATGTTGATCTCATAAAATTAATTATTATTTTTTTTTTTTTTTGAAACAAATTGGTCAACTCCTGGTGAAAGAAAGCACAAGACCCAATTAAGCTTAATTATTAGAAGATAATGCAATCTGACTCATTCGAAGAATAGTGTGTAGAAATATTTATTTATACTCATTTAGGCCTTTTCCAAACATTAAGCAGAAGCCTACATCCAACATGGCTATTGGTCCAGAAATAACATTTATTGAATACTTACAAGGGCCTCATCAGCCACGTGCTTTACACCAAATTCCCATTTCATCTCATACAACCTAACTATGAAGGAGGTATTAATATTGACTCCAGCACTCTTCACTGGGATTGGAAGTCCATCCTTCTTATCCACCACACCACCCTCTGTCCCTTTTTAGAGGAGGATAATGAAGATTCTGAAGTAAGACTAGAGGCTCTGAAGTGGACTAGAGCAAACGCTACAAAAAATGTGGCTGTATAGCAGTGCTCATTCGTGACCTGTTTGTTGCTGTCTGTGACAAGTCAGAAATTGAGAATGAGGTTTAAAAACATTCGTAGCAATATAACAAAGTATTTGTATGTCTGTTGAACCTGATTTATTTAAAATTTGGGTTGTATTGTCTGTCTTTGATTTTATTTAATATCATTTTTGTAGTAATTTATTTGATTATATTTGTTAAAGTATCAGTCCATGATGGATTGGAATTTTTTGAAAAGAAATAAGAACTGTTCCTTCACTATAGAATAGTGTGAGAGAAGCACTGGACTAAACATGTGTTAGTGATGACCACGTAGAAAGGAAGATGAAGATAGTGAAGTTTGAGCTTCTTTCTGAAGTTTGTGGGGTTTCCTGTATTTCTTATCAGTTGTCTCTACTTCTCTCGTAAATCTACCCATTGCTCTGTTGGTTTTAAGAGAACAATCAGTAAACCCCGTTTCCCCCTCCCTAATGTAAAAGCAACAGAGACATGAACACAGAGTCAGATAGGAGATGAAATGTCAGTACCAACTGGAACCGGAGGAGATAGCTGAGATGTACGATCTCAACTGTCTTTCTAATACTTCCCCACCACTGAATAGGGAGCCTCACCACCTAGTCAACTTGCATAGTTGGACAAGCTCAAGCTGCCCCCCACAAACTAAGAGCAGACCAACAAATAAACCTTTAGAAAAGACTACATACCATGTTCCCTGAAAATAAGACAGGGTCTTATATTTATTTTCTCCTCAAGAAGACACCCTAGGGCTTATTTCAGGGGATGGTGTTATTTTTTTTAAGTACAGTACAACAACCTACATTTATTCAAATATAGTTGAGTGTCTTCTTCTGGAACATCATCCATAACTCTCCAAACCCGGAATTCCATCCTGAATTTCTTGGCAACTCATATTTCCTTTAGAACACTGGCCACAATCTCTCTCATGTCGAGCATAGAGCTGTCATGGGGCAGATGAGAAGGGCTGCTCACTTCTTTACGCGCTCCACATGAAATGCATGGTTGTGCAGATACGCTGCATAGCCACGCCCATCACTTTGAGGTCTTATTTTCGGGGTAGGGCTTACATGTGCATGCTTAGAAAGCCTGCTAGGGCTTATTTTATGGTAGGTCTGTTTTCGGGGAAACACCGATAGAAATGGCAAGAGCAGAGCATTCTCAGTTCCTTTGCAAAAACTCATTCTTAGCTAAGTCTTTCTCCACTTGGTAGGGCATAAGGGAGAGCAAGGAAAGAGACAAAGGGTACCCTCTGGTTTATGTTCCCTCAAGAAAATGTGAGGCTAGAGGAATGGAGGTTCCCCTAACATGCGCATTAACCCCTCACTTAATACCCACCTCCTGGATATTATACTAAAACACACCCAATCTCATCTTGTAAGCTTTTCTCCCATCATTTAAACAGCTCTTGAAAGTCTATCTCCACCCAGACAACCCTTGAGAAGTGGAAGTAATTCTTCTTTCTAGCTCCTTTGCTTCAATTAGGTAAATGCACTTAATTTTTCAAGTTGTATATATATTTACGTACTTCACCATGGAATTGTGTATGGCATTATAAATCCCATGTAGGCGGGGAATTGGCACATGCTTACTCATTTGCTACAGCTCGTGCACCAATAAGATAATTTTAATGACTGGTTTGATCCCAAGGATGATGAAATGGAGATGGCAGTATAAGACATCTCTCTCTGTGCTATTTGACATTTACACCTCAACCTCAGATGATGAACCAGTTTTCCCACTTCTACTCTTGTTCTCTGGTAATACTGCTTTGCAACTTGGATTCCAGAGTATCAGTCCTCAGCCAAATGCTTTTCAACGCATACTAATATTAAAGAAAATTAGATGCTCATATAATATGTGACTTGACTTTTGAAACTCGTTCTTCTTACAGAGTAATTCTTTTTTAAAAAAAATATTTTATAAACGCTTCACGAATTTGCGTGTCTCCTTGCGCAGGGGCCATGCTATCTTCTCTGTATCGTTCCAATTTAGTATATGTGCTGCAGAAGCGAGCACCAGAGTAATTCTTTTTTTTTTTTTTTTTGAGACAGAGTCTTGCTTTGTTCCTAGGCTAGAATGAGTGTCGTGGCACCAGCCTGGCTCACAGCAACCTCAAACTCCTGGGCTCAAGCAATCCTTCTGCCTCAGCCTCCCAAGTGGCTGGGACTACAGGCATGCGCCACCATGCCGGGCTAATTTTTCTATATATATTATTTGGCCATTAATTTCTTTCTATTAGTAGAGACGGGTCCTCGCTCTTGCTCAGGCTGGTTTTGAACTCCTGACCTCCGAGGCAAGCCTCGAGCAATCCGCCCGCCTCGGCCTCCAGAGTGCTAGGATTACAGGTGTGAGCCCAGCCAGGGACATTTCTGAAGCAAGTGTCTTTGATGCCTATGTGCTTCCCAAGCTGTATGTACAACTACATTCCTGCGTGAGGTGCGCCATTCACAGCAAGGTAGTCAGAAATCGTTGTCGGGAAGCCTGCAAAGACCGAGCACCCCCACCCCAAGTTAGACCTGTGGGTGCTGCCCCACGACCTCCACCAACGCCCATGTAAGGGGTTCAGCCCTTGAGGACTGAAGAAAGGCTATCCTTTGGAAAAAAAAAAATAAAATGGAAATTATATTTAAAAAAAAAATGGCTAGGAGCAGTGGCTCATGCCTGTAATACTAGCACTTTGGGAGGCAAGGTGGCAGGATTGCTGCTTGAGGCAAGGAGTTCGAGACTAACCTCAGCAAGAAAAGGACCCTGTCTCCACACATGCACACACACAAAAAACCCAAAACAACAACAACAACAACAAACCATGGAGTCTTCCTTACTGAGAAGGCTCACTCAACTGAAAATAAAGAAATAAGGACTAGAAAGACTTCAGGGGATTGTTACATGTTAACCAAGAGGACACCTACACAACTAAATGCCACTTACTATAAAGCATAAAGGAATGAACTCCCTCCCCCAAAAGCTCAAATGGTGGATGAGAGGCATAAGGTCAGGTTCAACATCATCTTTGGCATATAGTATTTGGGGTGAAGGTGGGGGCTAAATTCCATGGGAGCATTAGTGACTTCTACAGTGTGCTTGGCAGCTCTAGGTTTTCAAGATATTTTAGCCAAGTATTTTTTCAGTGTGACCTAAGCTACCCAAGGATTCTACTGATCAGAATCAGGTGTTTTCATTCACTAGTGGTTGCTCTATACTATGCCATTTTAGAAAATGACACAAGGAAATGTGATGCCTCCTGGCCGACACTCTTTGATTCCATCTTATCAAAAGACTGACTTCCCCTAAAATGACTCTTCTCATTGTCTCTGTAACTACATTTGATTATGTGGCTACAGAGAGCACAATTTCCCAAATGAGGCCTGCCACCAGGAAGTGGATCATTTCAATGGGAATGCATGATAAACCATGCAGCAAGAGGGTGAGAACAGCAGGAGAGTCTTTTCATTTCAATCATTAAAATCACAATCCTCCCCACTCATTTCAAAACATTTAAGGACAATAAGACAAGCATTTGCAGTTTATATTCCAGGTAAATATGCATCATTTTTACTCATTAAATGAGGAACAAGAATGGCTTTTAACTTTGAGCAAGGACTTGATAATTAATATTGTTTCTTTCATTTTCAATTCTGCCAAGGACCTGCCAGATGGCCTTGTTTCTAGGGGGGAATGTCTTACTCATCACTCAGATTTCTTTTTAATACAGCAATGTAACAAATCTCCTTCCGTTCTAGTAGCCCTATGCTCTCTTTCCCACTCCCCCACCCACCCACCATTGGTAAGAAATCATGGGGCTTCATAATTGTTAAACTCAGAGATGGAACATAATATACTATGGTTTAATTCCCTGAATTTACAACCCTCCCCCCTCCAACCAAATGTCATTGAGCCTATTCCTTCTGTTAAAAAGAACATTTAATATCTGAGAAATTTTGGTTTGCCTGTCTGAATAGATAGTATTCCCTTTGCAACTACACAGGAATTAACTTTGCAGCACCTTGAAGTAAATTTGGAGAATGAAACTTGTTGCTTTACCAGACCAAACTGGGGGAAAAAAAAATAAAGTTGCTTCAGTTCATCACAAAGAAGGAAATTCAGCACCCCAGTGAGGCCAGAGGCTTACTCTAAACAGCCCCTGTGACCCAAACCGCCTCTGTTTTAGCCCTACAGACTGAAGAGACCGGAACAGTGAGAACAAATCAGATTTTTATTAGCTCTGCCTTACTGAAAAGCATGATTGTTTGATATGGGTAAACAATCCGTTAATGTTCTATGCCATTCATGTATAGTTTTGTTATTACTTTTTCATAACCAAAAGAAGTGGATTTAACTGGAACTGGAAAAACTACAGAATAGGAAATGCCGGCAGGGAGTTGGGGGACGGAGGTTGGAACAGTTAGCCACTTCTCTGACAAGTATAAATCTCTGCTTAACCCTGTTACAAGGCCATTTGGCATGCTTTGCTTCCCGATACAACTCAGCAGGTACATTCCAGGCTCCAGGGCATCCCCAACCCACCCCTTCCTGACTCCAAGTTGTTCTAGTACTTTGAATGGCTTCTAGGCCTTCCTCCCCTACAGGAAATAGAACCAATATTTTAGGAGACAATATTTAGCAGCACTGGAAAACATGGCAAATGTTCACAGACAGTGATCTTTTGAGGCTAGATCTTTGATTATGACTATTTATGTGGGATCTAGAACTTACCTGGGAGAGTCCCATTTGTATCTCAAGGATGAACCAATGAATCCTTGAAAGCCAAAGTCTTCAGGCACCTTGGTTCATTTGAACAAATTGGGTCAACTCCTGGTGAAATAAAGCACAAAGACCCAATTAGCTTAATTATTAGAAGATAATGCAATCTGACTCATTCGAAGAATAGTGTGTGGAAATATTTATTTATACTCATTTAGGCCTTTTCCAAAACATTAAGCAGAAGCCTACATCCAACATGGCTATTGGTCCAGAATAATAACATTTATTGAATACTTACAAGGGGCTCAATGCAGCCAAGTGCTTTACACAAATTCCCATTTCATCTTCATACCAACCCTATGAAGGAGGTATTAATATTGACTCCAGCACTTATTCACTGGGGATTGGAAGTCCATCCTTCTTATCCACCACACCACCCTCTGTCCCATTTTTAGAGGAGGATAATGAAGATTCTGAAGTAGACTAGAGCTCTGAAGTGGACTAGAGCAACGCTACCAAAAAATGTGGGCTGTATAGCAGTGCTCATTCGTGACCTGTTTGTTGCTGGTCTGTGACAAGTCAGAAATTGAGAATGAGGTTTAAAAACATTCGTGGCAATATAACAAAGTATTTTGTATGTCTGTTGAACCTGATTATTTAAAAATTTGGGTTGTATTTTGTCTGTCTTTGATTTTTATTTAATATCATTTTGTAGTAATTTATTTTGATTATATTTTGTTAAAGTATCAGTCCATGATGGATTGGAATTTTTTGAAAAGAAATAAGAACTGTTCCTTCACTATAGATAGTGTGAGAGAAGCACTGGACTAAACATGTGTTAGTGATGACCACTGTAGAAAGGAAGATGAAAGATAGTGAAGTTTGAGCTTCTTTCTGAAGTTTGTGGGGTTTCCTGTATTTCTTATCAGTTGTCTCTACTTCTCTCTGATAAATCTACCCATTGCTCTGTTGGGTTTTAAGAGAACAATCAGTAACACCCCGTTTCCTCCTCCTAATGTAAAAGCAACAGAGACATGAACACCAGAGTCAGATAGGAGATGAAAATGTCAGTTACCAAACTGGACCGGAGGAGATAGCTGAGATGTACGATCTCAACTGTCTTTCTAATACTTCCCCTCACCACTGAATTAGGGAGCCTCACCCACCTAGTCACTTGCATAGTTGGACAAGCTCAAGCCTGCCCCACAAACTAAGAGCAGACCACAATAAAACCTTTAGAAAGACTACATACCATGTTTCCCTGAAAATAAGACAGGGTCTTATATTTATTTTTCCTCAAGAAGACACCCTAGGGCTTATTTTCAGGGGATGTGTTATTTTTTTTAAGTACAGTACAACAACCTACATTTATTCAAATATAGTTGAGTCGTCTTCTTCTGGAACATCATCATAACTCTCCAAACCCGGAATTCCATCCTGAATTTCTTGCAACTCTATTTCCTTTAGAACCATTGGCCACAATCTCTCATGTCGAGCAATAGAGCTGTCATGGGGCAGATGAGAAGGGCTGCTCATCTTCTTTACCGCTCCGCATGAAATGCATGGGTTGTGCAGATACGCTGCATAGCCACGCCCATCACTAGGTCTTATTTTCGGGGTAGGGCTTACATTGTGCAAATGCTTAGAAAGCCTGCTAGGGCTTATTTTATGGGTAGGTCTTGTTTTCGGGGAAACACGATAGAAATGGCAGAGCAGAGCATTCTCAGTTCCTTTGCAAAAACTCATTACTTAGCTAAGTCTTTCTTCACTTGGTAGGGCATAAGGGAGAGGCAAGGAAAGAGACCAAGGGTATCCCTCTGGTTTATGTTCCCTCAAGAAAATGTGAGGCTAGAGGAATGGAGGTTCCCCTAACATGCGTCATTTAACCCCTCACTTAATACCCACCTCTGGATATTCTACTAAAACACACCCAATCTCATTCTGTAAGCTTTTTCTCCCATCATTTAAACAGCTCTTGAAAGTCTATCTCCACCAGACAACCCTTGAGAAGGTGGAAGTAATTCCTCTTTCTAGCTCCTTTGCTCAATTAGGTAAATGCACTTAATTTTTCAAGTTGTATATATATTTACTGTACTTCCACCATGGAATTGTGTATGGCATTATAAATCCCATGTAGGCGGGGAATTGTGCACATGCTTACTCATTTGCTACAGCTCAGTGCACCAATAGATATTTAATGACTGGTTTGATCCCAAGGATGATGAAGATGGAGATGGCAGTAAAGACATCTCTCTTGGCTATTTGCATTTAGCACCTCAACCTCAGATGATGAACCAGTTTTCCCACTTCTACTCTTGTTCTCTGGTAATACTTGCTTTGCAACTTGGATTCCAGAGTATCAGTCCTCAGCCAAATGCTTTTCAACAGCATACTAATATTAAGAAAATTAGATGCCTCATATAATATGTGACTTGACTTTTGAAACTCAGTTCTTCTACAGAGTAATTCTTTTTTAAAAAAAATATTTTATTAACGCTTCACGAATTTGCGTGTCATCCTTGCGCAGGGGCCATGCTAATCTTCTCTGTATCGTTCCAATTTTAGTATATGTGCTGCAGAAGCGAGCACCAGAGTAATTCTTTTTTTTTTTTTTTTTTTGAGACAGAGTCTTGCTTTGTTGCCTAGGCTAGAATGAGTGTCGTGGCATCAGCCTAGCTCACAGCAACCTCAAACTCCTGGGCTCAAGCTCAGCAGTCCTCCTGCCTCAGCCTCCCAGAGTGATAGGATTATAGGCATGAGTCATCTCACCCGGCCACTACTTTCTTTTTTTTAAAAAAAAAATTGTGCTGGATATAAGTTTAATTAAATGATGATATAGGCCGGGCATGGTAGCTC